AAATAAGAATTTGTTCTTAACTGACTTGCCTAGTTAAATAAAGGTAAAATAAAATGTTTCATGAGCTGAAATAAATCCCAGAAATGTTCCATATGCACAAATATCGTACTATAATCCATCCACCTGACAGGTGTGACATATCAAGAAGCTGATTAAACAGCATGATCATTACACAGGTGCACCTTGTGCTGGGGACAATAAAAGGCCACTCTAAAATGTGCAGTTTTGTCACACAACACAATGCCATAGATGTCGCAAGTTTTGAGGGAGCGTGCAATTGGCATGCTGACTGCAGGAATGGCCACCAGAGCTGTTGCCAGAGAACTGAATGTTAATTTTTCTAAAATAGGCTGCCTCCAACGTCATTTTAGAGAATTTGGCAGTACATCCAACCAGCCTCACGACCGCAGACATGTATGGCGTCGTGTTGGTGAACGGTTTGCTGATGTCACCGTTGTGAACAGTGCCCCATGGTGGCAGTAGGGTTATGGTATAGGCAGCCATAAGCTACAGACAAACACAATTAACTGCATTTTATTTTTGAATGCACATAGATTCCGTGACAAGATCCTGAGGCCCATTGTTGTACCATTCATCCTCCGCCATCCCTTCATGTTTCAGCATGATAATGCACAGCCACATGTCGCAAGGACCTGTACACAATTCCTGGAAGCTGAAAATGTCCCCGTTCTTCCATGGCCTGCATACTCACCAGACACCAGTCACCCATTGAGCATGTTTGGGATGATTTGTTTGACGAAACACTAGCAGTTGAATGCAGTGCAATGTATCAAATTAGTTTATACTAATGCTATGTTAGATGCACTTTAATCTCCTTCATTCCACATAATTCAAACCACATTGCCATATAAGAGACGTAGAATTATCGATTCACTTTAAGAATAGGATTTGTTGTGTAGAGCATACAATAAATGTATAGATGACATTTGGTTACTTTAGGTATTCAATACCTCAGGTCATAGCTATAGGCTGTAGTTTTCCCGTTAAAGAAACAAGATTTCCATCTCTTCACAGAACACAACTGTTACATTTTTCATCTTCGTCAACAAATCTCTTTAATTACATCACAGAAAAGTAAGCCAATGAAAGCCATTGAAGTGAACAAACTTCATAGTTTGATATAGCTGTTTTGTAATATTAGGTGAGACAGTTTACCTTTGTATACCATTGATTTGCACTGTTAAAAGTGTAGTTGTGTACCTACAGTATGCGTATCATTCAGGGTGAGCGACATATGGGAGAAGTGGTGCAGTACAGCGTTCTTTCACACAAAACAGACACATTAACAGCCAACCAACTTTTTTTTCTTTTCTTTTAAATCGTCCCTAATCAAGTAATGCCAGAGATCAGATAGTTCAACAGTTCTTTTTCACCTGCCTGGCATTTTGACTTTCTTCTAATCTCTAAGACAGTTGTAGAAGTTTTCATACATGCAATAAACAGCTTGCTTAGTGCCGCACACAGGACTCGCTGCACTCCGTTCGCTCCCCTCATTAGGTCCTGTACTCTCAATATGGCATTTTCAGATAATTTTCCTTAACCCCCCCCCAAGAAACCCAAATCCCACCAAATTAAACTATCAATATAATTACCCTACAAAGCGATTACAAAATGTGAATAGCTAAGCATTATGGGTAATTTCCTAAATAAAAGGTTAAACGGTGCAGGGCTATTCTTTCCCTCGTCTATAAGCACCCGACGCGGTCAGGGGGCTTTACTGAAGGGGGCTTTACTGAAATGATATGCTAAGGACACTGCCGGTCACAATAGGCCAGATGCAGCTCTGAAGACATTACAGTACAAAACCATCTAAAAATGAATGGTGATCAAGATTTCAAGTTCAAAATAAAAATTCCTGGTTCAGCAGGGGGACATGTTGAGATTACAATCGAAAGCTCTCTCGACCCCGACGTGCCAAACCACACCATTAGGTCAGAGTAACTAAGAGAGATGCTACATATACCAGCCTTCTGGCCCACACACACACACACAGCACACGCATACACAGGCAGAGACAAGCATATACACACACAGAACAGCTCTTCTTCAATGCTTCTTAAGCGCTGGGTGTGTTGGTGCTGGGGTTTGACTGAAGATGCTCAGTGAAGACTCTCCCCATTGACAGACAGCTACAGATAAGCCAATCCAGCTAGCCCCCTGCTCTCTCCTCCTCAGAGTCTTTGTGGGAAGGGGAGGGTCACTGGGCGTAATTCAAGTCAAAAGTCAGGTTTGTTTTACTGAATCCTAAATGGTAACGACTCTGCTCTCATGGGGTCCCTGGAGCACCAGTGGCAAGTGCAGGCGACGGGGCTCTGGGTCCGGTCTGGTTCCGGGGGAAGATCTCCATCACACTTTTAGGCGGGAGGGGTGGGGGTTTGTGGCGTGTGTGACCAGGGACCAGATAGTAAACATGTCCTGACCCGAGCCTCACCGCTCACCATACACACCAAACACAGTCACTCTAGTGCAACAGGAGAGGAATGACTGTGCTGGCTTTCAGCATGACAAGCCAGACAAGAGGGCTGGCTAACGCTTCCCCAAACAGATGTGCGAGTTTGAGTTTGTTTTTCCTTCAATGCAGATTTGTCTGTATTTTGCTAGACTTTTGTACTGATAGCGTTCCCTTTTTTGTCGGAAACAATGCAGCATTATTGAAAACATGCAGTAGAATAGTACAGTATCAAGTCAGAAATGATTGATTAGACATTGTAACATTACATCCACCATTTTGTATACGTCCACCGTATCCTGCTTACTTCGAATCAGATGCTCTGTACACTTGGGGCCTGATGGGTAATACGGACAATGATCCTTTTGGGGGGACCTCGCTGACATAGTCAATCTACACTGAACAAAAATATAAACGCAACATGTAAAGTGTTGGTCCCATGTTTCATGAGCTGAAATAAATCTCATACATTTTCCATCCGCACAAATATCGTATTTCTCTCAAATTGTATATCCCTGTAAGTCAGCATTTATCCTATGCCAAGATAATCCATCCACATGACAGGTGTGGCATATCAAGAAGCTGATTAAACAGCATGATCATTACACAGGTGTACCTTGTGCTGGGGACAATAAAAGGCCACTCTAAAATGTGCAGTTTTGTCACACAACACAATGCCACAGATGTCTCATGTTTTGAGGGAGTGTGCAATTGGCACGCTGACTACAGGACTGTCCACCAAAGCTGTTGCTTCATTTCTCTACCGTAAGCTGCCTCCAACGTCGTTTTAGAGAATTTGGCAGTACGTCCAACCGGCCTCACAACCACAGACCACGTGTAACCACACCAGCTCAGGACCTCCACATCCGGCTTCTTCACCTGTGGGGTGCTGAGGAGTATTTCTGTCTGTAATAAAGCCCTTTTGTGGCTGCACCCCTGCACAGTCATGTTAAATCCATAGATTAGGGCCTAATTTATTTCAATTGACTGATTTCCTTAAATGAACTTTAACTCAGTAAAATCTTTGAAATTGTTGCATGTTGTGTTGATATTTTTGTTCAGTATATAATAAAAAAAACAGGCAGCTGCAGATTCTCTTTTGAAAGGCATGGCTTTAGTCATGCCACACGCATCATCTCATGATTCATACAACAATAGGATGATTTTCCAGCTATGCATTATCATCAAATTACAAAATACACATCCTACCACTTGGTACCAAAGAGGCTTCAAAATATAGCAAACACACGCTATTTCACATCAAATCACATGGCACCAGAACGCTGCACACACTGGAGAAACTGTCTGTTTCTTCTTGTTGTTTACAATTACCCTTACATGGCACTTTGAATGTAGAATCCTTGTCTATCGGTCACGCCTATGCAAAGAGAAAGGACTGGGGGGAAAATAAAAAAAAAATCACAGCATCGGTACCCCGGTGCTGGCACAATTCAAGTAAAAGCCCTTTCTGACATGGAATGATCATACAACTAAAGGTCCATTTTAAGTGCAATGTAAGTGCACACCAATGCAGGGAGGGGAGGGGTCACAATGCCACTGATGGGTGCAGCGGGGAGGGGGGGGGGGGGGGGAGCTTATGTACCTTCTGTTCAGGACTGGAGACCCTGCAGAGTCTGAGCACCCATTCTTTGTGAGATAAGGCTTTGAGGAGAAGCGCACCAGCAAGACAGGGCCATACTATTCCTTTATGCCGGGCGTACACTACACGACTTTCAAAATCCAAACATCCCTGAGCCTCTCATGTTAAACGACCGTCTTACCTGTAGTTTTTTGTCTTGCCAACGTAGTGGTGCGCATACTTAACGATGTGGTACAGACGGGGGGGCGGGGGGTCACACACGACAAGATTCTTCACTTAGTCGTGACGATTAAATCTCGAAACCACGCTGTCTCGCGAAAACAATATGACGTGATTAGATTGTTAACGTAGCTAGAACTAGCTGTTTCAAAGCAGCCTCAAAGTTTACATTCAGACATTCACGCTTGCCATACAGAGTTGAAATATCTAGCCAATAGATTTTGCTTGTGAACTTCAGAGCTGTCACCATTTGACACTTTGGCTTTTAAGGCAAGTACAAACGTATACTAGCTAGCTAGTAGTAGTCGTCGCTCCTGTTCGAGAGTATACATTCTGGTTGATGTGATACATCATCTCACTGGCTTCTACTCTGGCGAGCTCACATTGGCTATTGTGGATCACCGTTCTCAAAACTTGTCATTACACATCTCACACTACAAGAGCATTGCAGATTTTGTGCCGATAAAATCAAACCTGTTTGAAAATATTGGGACGTCTTGGGACGGTTCGAGTAGGCAACGACATGGTGATTTTGTCGCCGATCTCAAAAACGTGTCTGGGGACAGCTAAATCGGGGGCCAAAATCGTGTAGTGTACACCCGGCTTTAGGGTTCGTGATACACCGTCTCTCGGCCCAAAGCAGTCACCCACTGTCTCCTCTGGGGGATTCTCTCCCTCTCCTGGGCAATAAGGGCCAAGTCACACAGCACTCTACCTGCTGTAAGGGTCGCCTGGGTAATTATCTCTGCTGCTACTGCCATTGTTGTTATTGTTGCCGTTTCTGCCGGTGCTGGAGTGGTAAGAGCCGCGAGAGGAAGAAGAGGAAGAGGAGGAGAAGAGCAGGGAGGAAGAGGGGCCTGGCTCAGAATCATCCAGTCGGCCGGCTCCTTCAAACACGTCGTCGATGTCCATGGCCACTGAGAGACTGGCCCCCTCACCCTCCGAGGCTAGGCCGGGGGGTTGTGGTTGAGAGAGGGAGGGCAGACCCCACACCGGGCCTGGGTGAGGCTCTGAGGGAGCAGGGGGGTGCTCCAGGCTGAGACGCAGGGAGTTGATGGGGCAGGCGGAAGGGGAGGCTGTAGAGACGGCCAGAACGGGGTCACTGCTGCTGGGCCGCCCAGCTACGGCGCCCGCCCCTGTCTGGGAGCCGCGGTGGATGCGGTGGCTGACGATAATGTTGTTGCCAAACCCACCCATGGAGGCCATGGTGGTGCTCTGCTCCCGCTGGACCACTGCCGTCATGCCGCCCTCTGCGATGAGCCGGCGGATCCGCGCCAGGGCGTCCTCTCCTGGGGCATACTCTGGGGCCTCGCCTGGGACAGAGGGAGGGAGGGAACAAGAGAAGATATGAGTGATGATAATTAATGCTTTCAAGCTGCTGATACTATTTTTTGTTTTTTGGTGACATGCCACACAATGTAATATAATGACAACTTAATTAGCCCCGGGGAGGAAGTTAATATATCAGTCTGCTGTTATTCCTTGAAACCCCAGTGTTCAGTTCAGCTGGTTGCTAGAAGAGGGTGGTTATGAGGAAACAGTGGAAACCATCGGGGGCCATAGGAAATTACTCCCTGAGAGAGGGGAGAAATTCAATTATGCCTGCCGAAATTCAATTTTGTCTAAGTTCCTAAACCCCTTTGAATCAATGTTGGACTGTCTGTCAAAGTGCGTACCTCTCTCACTCAGGGAGCGCGAGGTAGAGCTAGAGCGAGAGCTACGTCACAGGGTTATACAGCCCCCCACTCACTGCAGTGCTAGATAGAACTTTCTGGAATAACGCAACTCTACGAAATAAATACACGTTGTCACATTGAAAACACTAAATCCAGGAAGCCCAATCGATTGTGAGATATGGCATATACATTTTATGTGATAAATATGGGTCACAGGTTCACAATTCTACCTTTTCTGAGATCTCTGCCAAGCAAGGAGGAAAGGAGCCAATCTTCTCCCGCCTCCCACTTTTATCTTGCAACGCAATTTGACATCATTCCACCTGGTATGATCAGATCGTTACGGCAAAATATATCTACTAAAATGAGGGAAAGAGTGAGTGTGCAACATAACGTCCACCTCATAGGATGATACATATGGGCTAAAAGGCTAATTTATTTAACAAACGTTTCATTCGAATGTAACTTTCCTACAGTAGCCAGCTGACAGCGAACATATCCTTAATTTCTGTTGCAGATATAATAGATAGATGTATGCATCAGTACCCAGGCTATCAAAATGGATTTATGCGCACTTTCCAATTTTTCATTGGGGTAGATCAAATATGCTATTATTACATTTATTATTAGCCTACATTTCCAAAATCAGTAGACTAAATGACAAACATTATTTTTTTCAGTTTGCAAGCCTGAGCCAAATTGCATTCCTCGAGTGAGCAAGAGAATGTAGGCTAATTTTATAAAATGGAAAATAATTTGTATATCCTTGCATCAAATATCCTCCTCCGTGAAAGTCGTGTATTGATTATATATAGCATACGTGATTAATGATGATCACTGCAATCTACAGCTGCGGTGTTGCTTATTGGATTACCCCATATCATGAAATAGGCTATGTGAAAGTTTATAAAGACAAAAGGTGGATACACAGAATTATATGATTTGGATGGATGGTTGACATGACAGAAAGGTAGTCGGATATTTTCTTTCTCGAAGCTCATTATGCATGTTGTTTCACGAACGGAACTCGCGCCTCGTAAAAACCTTATAGCCTATAGCGCAATATATCCCCAAATTCAAAGAAAAGAAAATACACCAGCGACATCATTTAGGAGATAAAGGTTGTGAGCACAGTGTTTCTGATCAAATCAACAATTATCTTCTAATGTATTTGTGTGGCTATGATGCCATCTTTAGAGCACAGGATTTTCTGCTTGGTTTCCAGAGCATTGAAAGAGAGATGAAATAGGCTACTACCGAGGTCTGATGATGCTTAGTAAAAGGCGTAACACAACGTTAGGTGATGTGCTAAAGTCTGATGCAGGCTATTCTGAAAACTGCCAGTGTTGTGTTTATGAGGAGTCCCCTCGTGTGTGTGTTTGTTGCATGAGCAGCAAATTGCGAACCCACGACCCATATGTATCACATAAAAAGGCATATGCCATCTCTCACAATCGATTGGGCTTCCCGAATTTAGTACGTTCGCTGTGACAGAAAGTGTATTATTCCAGAAAGTTCTATCTAGCACTGCAGTGAGTGGGGGACTGCATAACCTGGTGACGTAGCTCTTGCTGTACCTCGCTCTCCTCATTAACATCAAATTAACATCCCATCATGCTTAGGGTCATGTATATAAATGCCCAGTTGCACATTATTTTGGCTACCTTGGCTAGAAGAGATCTCAGTGACGTTTGGAAAGAGGGATCTCAAAGAAGCATAGGGGGTTTAAAGAGTGTGTCTCTCAGTCACCAGATCTCAACCCAGTTGAACACTTATGGGAGATTCTGGAGTGGAGCCTGAGACAGTGTTTTCCACCACCATCAACAAAACACCAAATTATGGAATTTATGGAAGAATGGTGCTGCATCCCTCCAATAGAGTTCCAGTCACTTGCAGAATATCTGCCAAGGCGCACTGAAGCTGTTCTGGGGACTTGTGGTGGCCCAACGCCCTATAAAGACAATATGTTGGAGTTTCCTTTATTTTGGCAGTTACCTATATCTTTCACGGATTCCATCCTCTGCAAAACAGACAGTTGAAACAGCCCTTCCTGACCATGTGCCGTCATTATGGCCATATAAAACTGTTTCCCCTACCCCTATGCTTCTATTGGTTTGAATTGAATTTGAGACTAGAGGGCCTGGATGTCGCTTTGGGGGCCTTTGCACCCCACCTGGAGATCACAGTAGGGGAAAACATTCCGTAGAACCATATAGAAGGTACAATAAGAGGGGTTCTGGCAGAGTTGGGGTCAATTCCATTCCAATTCAGGAAGTACACTGACATTTCAATTCCAATTCTCTTCTATGCTTTTCAATGAGTAACATTTCAAATTGGGTTTACTTTCTGAATTGACCCCAACCCCGCTTTCTGGCATTATAAAAAGGGAGGGTAGTAGGTGGGACTGGGAGGATTACCGGTGTTGGCTGTGGAGGTGCCGGCTTCTGTTGAGGCATCTCCCAGGGCACTGTCCTCGATCTGGCTGGTTTGTGGCTGCTCTAGGCTCCCCTTGGTCTCGCGGCTCGTGGACGGGAGCTCTTGGACTTCTACTGAGATGAGTAGCGAGAGAAATCGAAAACATTGATACATTTACATTTCCTCAAAAAAAACTAAAACCGCATCACTAAACTGCACAGAAAGTTAGATGAGACATACATTGGTTGAAGGTTAACATCTGTGTTAAATACAAAATAATAATTTTACTGCTGACTCTTAACTGAATGGCAATGTGTATTTGAGAACGGGTCTGATTGGATCTCAGTGTTTCGTTTTCACACAGGGAGCCAATGAAAAGTTACCGGTAGGTAGCCTAGTGGTTAGAGCATTGGACCAGTTACCGAAAGGTTACTAGTTCGAATCCCCGAGCCGACAAGGTGAAAAATCTGCCGATGTGCCCTTGAGCAAGGTACTTAACCCTAATTGCTTCAGGGTTACCGTTGGGTGTATATCCGAGGGAGATGAGATATGCAAAATAAGCATTTAACACATGCGTATAATACACACTTGAAACAGGACAAATACAGGCACCCACCTATTATTATTAGAGCCCGACCGATATATTTTTGGGTCCGATACCGATATATCTGCCGATATGTTTAGAGGGGGAATGAAAACATCCTTTTTTTAATAACACTAATTGTGCTCTAAAGGATTAACTGATACTCTAAATTATGATTTCTTAAGTAAATATTCAAATTAACATTTAAAAACATTTTATTTGTGGTTTACATGATAACCACCAAAAAGCAACTCTCGCCTCTATAAATACGAAAGTAAATACAAAATGTATTGGAGATATATACAGTGGGGAGAACAAGTATTTGATACACTGCCGATTTTGCAGGTCTGTCATTTTTATCATAGGTACACTTAAACTGTGAGAGACAGAATCTAAAACAAAAATCCAGAAAATCACATTGTATGATTTTTAAGTAATTAATTTGCATTTTATTGCATGACATAAGTATTTGATACATCAGAAAAGCAGAACTTAATATTTGGTACAGAAACCTTTATTTGCAATTACAGAGATCATATGTTTCCTGTAGGTATTGACCAGGTTTGCACACACTGCAGCAGGGATTTTGGCCCATTCCTCCATACAGACCTTCTCCAGATCCTTCAGGTTTCGGAGCTGTCGCTGGGCAATACGGACTTTCAGCTCCCTCCAAAGATTTTCTATTGGGTTCAGGTCTGGAGACTGGCTAGGCCACTCCAGGACCTTGAGATGCTTCTTACGGAGCCACTCCTTAGTTACCCTGGCTGTGTGTTTCGGGTCGTTGTCATGCTGGAAGACCCAGCCACGACCCATCTTCAATGCTCTTACTGAGGGAAGGAGGTTGTTGGCCAAGATCTCGCGATACATGGCCCCATCCATCCTCCCCTCAATACGGTGCAGTCGTCCTGTCCCCTTTGCAGAAAAGCATCTCCAAAGAATGATGTTTCCACCTCCATGCTTCACGGTTGGGATGGGGTTCTTGGGGTTGTACTCATCCTTCTTCTTCCTCCAAACACAGCGAGTGGAGTTTAGACCAAAAAGCTCTATTTTTGTCTCATCAGACCACATGACCTTCTCCCATTCCTCCTCTGGATCATCCAGATGGTCATTGGCAAACTTCAGACAGGCCTGGACATGTGCTGGCTTGAGCAGAAGGACCTTGCGTGCGCTGCAGGATTTTAATCCATGACGGCGTAGTGTGTTATTAATGGTTTTCTTTGAGACTGTGGTCCCAGCTCTCTTCAGGTCATTGACCAGGTCCTGCCATGTAGTTCTGGGCTGATCCCTCACCTTCCTCATGATCATTGATGCCCCACGAGGTGAGATCTTGCATGGAGCCCCAGACCGAGTGTGATTGACCGTCATCTTGAATTTCTTCAATTTTCTAATAATTGCCCCAACAGTTGTTGCCTTCTCACCAAGCTGCTTGCCTATTGTCCTGTAGCCCATCCCAGCCTTGTGCAGGCCTACAATTTTATCCCTGATGTCCTTACACAGCTCTCTGGTCTTGGCCATTGTGGAGAGGTTGGTGTCTGTTTGATTGAGTGTGTGGACAGGTGTCTTTTATACAGGCAACGAGTTCAAACAGGTGCAGTTAATACAGGTAATGAGTGGAGAACAGGAGGGCTTCTTAAATAAAAACTAACAGGTCTGTGAGACCCGGAATTCTTACTGGTTGGTAGGTGATCAAATACTTATGTCATGTAATAAAATGCAAATGAATTACTTAAAAATCATAATGTGATTTTCTGGATTTTTGTTTTAGATTCCGTCTCTCACAGTTGAAGTGTACCTATGATGAAAATTACAGACCTCTACATGCTTTGTAAGTAGGAAAACCTGCAAAATCGGCAGTGTATCAAATACTTGTTCTCCCCACTGTATATGTCAACAGCAAATGGCATGCACTGATGACTGAAAATGTTTATGCAGGGCAATGCTTGCAGCACTGGTATTAGTCACAAGTTCTAATTTAGCTAGCTAGCTCCTTATCTCACCATGAATGCAAGCACATGGCCTGAATGATAGACTGTCTTGCTTTTTGCAGATTGCATATTTCGGAAAACAAACTAAATAAGCCAACTAGCTAACATAATAGGCCCAGACAGAAACAGTTATTTTTGTATCAAGGACGAGTGTTCACTTTGGCACCAGTCCAGTGTTAACACACAAGTAGAACAGAATGCTAGCTTGCTAAGCTAACTATCTTGTTGGCTAGATTGTGAAGCTCACTACCCTGCTGCTGGCTTGCTAGACAGCTAACGTTAAGTGAGAATGTGATGAGGACAATGCTGCTTGCTTTGTGAAGTGTACTTTGATTATTTACTTATTCAAATGCGCTGCCTGTGGTAAGCTACTCACCGTCAAACCACCATGCCTACTCTCTCTCAAGTTGTGACCTTAGGGTTGAATGATGTTCAATGAGCAGCTCGTAGAGCGCCCTCTTCAGGCAATGATTGAAACATTTAAAATTACTGCAAATTAGCGTCTACCCAGAATGATCAAATGACAGTACATTCGTTAAGTATTCAGACCCCTTGACTTTTTTCACATTTTCTTACATTACAACCTTATTCTAAAATTGATTTGTTTCCCCCCTCATCAATCTACACACAACACCCCCATAATGACAAAGCAAAAACCATTTTGTAGAACATTTTGCAAAAACAAAACACTGAAATATCACATTTACATAAGTATTCAGACCCTTTACTCAGTACTTTGTTGAAGCACCTTTGGCAGCGATTACAGCCTCGAGTCTTTTTGGGTATGACGCTACAAGCGTGGCACACCTGTATTTGGGGAGTTTCTCCCATTCTTCTCTGCAGATCATCTCAAGCTCTGTCAGGTTGGATGGGGAGTGTTGCTGCACAGCTATTTTCAGGTCTCTCCAGAGATGTTCGATCGGGTTCAAGTCCGGGCCTCTGGCTGGGCCACTCAAGGACATTCAGAGCCTTGTCCCGAAGCCACTCCTGCGTTGTCTTGGCTGTGTGCTATGGGTCGTTGTCCTGTTGGAAGGTGAACCTTCGCCCCAGTCTGAGGTCCTGAATGCTCTGGAGCAGATTCATCAAGGATCTCTCTGTACTTTGCTCCATTCATCTTTCCCTCGATCCTGACTAGTCTCCCAGTCCCTGCCGCTGAAAAACATCCCCACAGCATGACGCTGCAACTACCATGCTTCACCGTAGGGATGGTGCCAGGTTTCCTCCAGACGTGACACTTGGCATTCAGGCCAAAGAGTTCAATCTTGGTTTCTTCAGACCAGAGAATCTTGTTTCTCATGGTCTGAGAGTGCCTTTTGGCAAACTCCAAGCGGCCTGTCCTGTGCCTTTTACTGAGGAGTGGCTTCCGTCTGGCCACTCTACCATAAAGGCCTGATTGGTGGAGTGCTGAAGAGATGGTTGTCCTTCTGGAAGGTTCTCCCATCTCCACAGAGGACCTCTGGAGCTCTGTCAGAGTGACCATCGGGTTCTTGGTCACCTCCCTGACCAAGGCCCTTCTCCCCCGATTGCTCAGTTTGGCCGGGCGGCCAGCTCTAGGAAGAGTCTTGGTGGTTCCAAACTTCTTCTATTTAAGAATCATAGAGGCCACTGTGTTTTTGGGGACCTTCAATGCTGCAGATATTTTTTGGTAACCTTCCCCAGATCTGTGCCTCGACAGAATCCTGTCTCTGTGCGCTATGGACAATTCCTTCGACCTCATGGCTTGGTTTTTGCTCTGACATGCACCATCAACTGTGGGACCTTATATAGACAGGTGTGTGCCTTTCCAAATCATGTCCAATCAATTGAACTTACCACAGGTGGACTCCAATCAAGTTGTAGAAACATCTCAAGGATGATCAATGGAAACAGGATGCACCTGAGCTCAATTTCGAGTCGCATGGCAAAGGGTCTGAATACTTATGTAAATAATGCATTTCAGTTTTTTATTTTTAATACATTTGCAAAGATTTCTAAAAACCTGTTTTCACTTTGTCATTATGGAGTATTGTGTGTAGATTGATGAGGATTTTTTATTTATTAATCCATTTTATAATAAGGCTGTAACGTAACAAAATGTGGAAAAAGTAAAGGGGTCTGAATACTTTCTGAATGCACTGTATTTGTTCATTCTAGGTATATAATGTTGGCACTTTATCTGTGGAATAAAGACAGATGCATATATTTCTGGGAAGGCTAATATCAGCCGATAATATCAGTCAACCGATTTATCGGTCGGCCTCTAATAATAATGTATTGTAATAATGTATGTAATAATTCCAGTATGGAAAATGTATGCACTCACTAACTGTAAGTCGCTCTGGATAAGAGCGTCTGCTAAATGACTAAAATGTAATAATAATAATAATAATAATTATTATTATTAATCCTCCTACCATAAGCAGCAGCGTGGGAGGTGCTGGGCCTGGGGAGGTCCCGCTCTGTCTGCGTCTCTGCGTTCTGCAGCTGGACGATGGGCGTCTGAGTGCCCTGTGAGGTCACAGAGGGGGCGGGGTGTCGGGGCTGGAGGCCAATTGCGTTCATCAGACCCATGTCTCTGTCAAGTCTCCAGCTGGAGCGACTGGGGGCCCTTGGAGCGGACAAACACCACAGAGAAGATTGGTAAGACATGATTGGATGGACACTCATGAAAGTGTTGGGTTGCAAATTCTGGAAACTTCCTCAAAATCCCCCGGTTTTAAAGTTGGAGGATTTCTGGAAAACCTGGGGATTTTGGGAAAGTTTCCAGAATTTGCCACAGTTCAAGCCAGGGAGAGGTGTAAAAGAAAGAGGAGACAACGCCTCCTGGGTCGTAGACTCCTTACCCTGGTCGATCTGTACTGCGGGTCCTGCTGGTTCCACCACCACTGTTGTTGACTGTGAATATGGGCTCTGCGTTTGCGTCGGCCGGGCTCTCTCCGTCACTACGGTAGAACCTAGAGAACAGACAAGACAACAGTTATCATTGGCGACGACGATGTCGTCATAATTGGATCTTTCCATAATGTTTCCGCCACCGTTTCCTATGACCTAAAAGAGCTTATGGACATCAGAACAGCCATCACTATCACTAACCTCTATTTGGACGAGTGGACTTAACCTGTCCGGGACCGGATGGTCCCGCTCCTGCTGGCTTTCGCAAATTCTGCCTTTACTCTCCTGAAGTTGCTGGTAATAGGCTACACGAGGAGTCGGCAAGTTCTCATGGGGAATGCCAATTTAATATAATAATAATATGCCATTTTAGCAGACGCTTTTATCCAAAGCGACTTACAGTCATGCTTGCATACATTTTTTTTGTGTATGGGTGGTCCCGGGGATCGAACCCACTACCTTGGCGTTACAAGCGCCGTGCTCTACCAGCTGAGCTACAGAGGACCACAGAGGATCTTACCATATCTACCAATCTGTGTTCCAGTTATGGTTTTCATATGCACATTTGTGGAAAAGTTAAATTTAAATTATAATAATGTCTTCGTATCTCAAAATCATTGTCATGTGTTTAATCAAAATTCTATCCAATTCTAAATGAAAATAATATGAACCTAAAAGGTAACTTCTATTGTCATTGCCAACTACATAAAAATAGCCTATAAAGCCAACAAATAAAAACATTGCAGCCTGCAGGTAAATATCCTATGAATCACATTGGCTACGCATGGCCTGTCTGCAACGAATTTAAAACATTGTATCAACTATTAACTTGGGTCCGGCCTGAAGCTCCTTGCAACATTTTGTAAAATATTCTGGGCCCTCAGAGTTTCCCGCGCCAGTGAGCTCGGGACAGACACAGCTGTAGGCTATTTGCACAAGGGATAAGAAGTAATCAGGTAGGCCTATTTTATAACGTTTTTACTGGCATTTTTCCCCTTTCACGCTAAGTGGTTATCGAAAGGGAGAGAGCTGGAAAGATTATTTTTTACATCCATAGAGAATGACAGACTTCATTTGCTTGCTGTTTGAGGTGAAGAAAGCATTACTTTGAGAAGCTCCACAGCTCATTAGTGGTGTTGCATTAAGCCAATCAGAAATACTATCAGATCCCCAAATGGGCACATTTATATGCCTACATTTGTGCGCAGGCCAGGTAGCCTATAGGCCTACTTCTATGCGTAATCAGGTGCGCGTCCTTACTCAACATTGACAGGAGCGCTCCAAAGGAAAGACCATGACTTAATTGACAAAACTCATAAATGGAACTTTTCTCACAAGTGTAGCATAGGTTGTGCGCTATGCAAACAACATGTTCACTCCGACAATGAGAACGGTAAAAGACTGGAATAATAATATAGCCTATTGAATGGATTAACAGACATTACCGTAACCAAACAAACATTGTAGATTAGAAATTATAGGAATTATCAGTAAATGTACTACTGGTGATATACACTACATGACCAAAAGTATGTGGATACCTGCTCGTCGAACATCTCATTCCGAAATCATGGGCATTAATATGGAGTTGGTCCCGCCTTTGCTGCTTTAACAGCCTCCACTCTTCTGGGAAGGCTTTCCACTAGATGTTGGAACATTGCTGCAGCTTCCCTTCAGCCACAAGAGCATTAGTGAGGTCAGGCACTGATGTTGGGCGATTCGGCCTGGCTCGCAGTCGGCGTTCCAATTCATCCCAAAGGTGTTCGATGGGGTTGAGATAAAGTCAACTTCTTCCACACCGTTTTTCGACAAACCATTTCTGTATGGACCTCGCTTTGTGCACGGGGGCATTGTCATGCTGAAACAAGGAAGGGCCTGCCCCAAACTGTTGCCACAAAGTTGGAAGCACAGAATCATCTAGAATGTCACTGTATGCTGTAGCGTTACGATTTCCCTTCACTGGAACTAGCCCGAAACACTGCTCCAGAGTCCAATGGAGGTGAGCTTTACACCACTCCAGCTGACGCTTGGCATGGCGCATGGTGATTTTAAGCTCCCGACGAACAGTTCTTGTGCTTACGCTGCTTCCAGAGAAAGTTTGGAACTTGGTAGTGAGTGTTGCAACCGAGGATAGATTATTTTTAAAACGCTACGCGCTTCAGCACTCTGCGGTCCCATTCTGTGAGCTTGTGTGGCCTACCACTTCGCGGCTGAGACGTTGTTGCTCCTAGATGTTTGCAATAACACAATAACAGCACTTACAGTTGACTTGGGAAGTTCTAGCAGGGCGAACTGACTTGTTGGAAAAGGTGGCATCCTATGACGATGCCACGTTGAAAGTCACTGAGCTCTTCAGTATGGCCATTCTACTGCCAATGTTTGTCTATTGAGATTGCATGGCTGTGTGATCGATTTTATACACCGGTCAGCAACGGGTGTGGCTGAAATAGCCGAATACACTAATTTGAAGGGGTGTCCACATACTTTTGTACATATAGTATATAACACTAACAATCAAACGCAAACAATTCACACAATGAATTTATGAAACAATGAATGTGCACAAATTGGCGGGAAAGAGCTCATTCTGGAGAGACTCCCCTTCTTGGACTGTGCCATCCTCGCGGCCTCCTCAATGGATTAGTTCACGGAGATGGGCACGAATAAGACCGGTGTCTCGTGTGCCATAAAATAAATAAATTGTGTGTATATATATATATATATATATATATATATATATATATATATATATATATATATATATATATATATATATACACACACACACACAGTCGTGGTCAAAAGTTTTGAGAATGACACAAGTATTGGTCTTCACAAAGTTTGCTGCTTCAGTGTTTTTAGATATCTTTGTTGACAATTACATTACATTTATGCAGAGTCAATATTTGCAGTGTTGACCCTTCTTTTTCAAGACCTCTGCAATCTGCCCTGGCATGCTGTCAATTAAGTTCTGGGCCACATCCTGACTGATGGCGGCCCATTCTTGCATAATCAATGCTTGGAGTTTGTCAGAATTTGTGGGGTTTTTGTTTGTCCACCCGCCTCTTGAGGATTGACCACAAGTTCTCAGTGGGATTAAGGTCTGGGGAGTTTCCTGGCCATGGACCCAAAATGTTGATGTTTTGTTCCCCAAGCCACTTAGTTATCAGTTTTGCCTTATGGCAAGGTGCTCCATCATGCTGGAAAAGGCATGGGTCGTCACCAAACTGTTCTTGGATGGTTGGGAGAAGTTGCTCTCGGAGGATGTGTTCGTACCATTCTTTATTCATGGCTATGTTTTTAGGCAAAATTGTGAGTGAGCCCACTCCCTTGGCTGAGAAGCAACCCCACACATGAATGGTCTCAGGATGCTTTACTGTTGGCATGACACAGGACTGATGGTAGCGCTCACCTTGTCTTCTCCGGACAAGCTTCTTTGCGGATGCCCCAAACAATCGGAAAGGGGATTCATCAGAGAAAATGACTTTACCCCAGTCGTCAGGAGTCCAATCCCTGTACCTTTTGCAGAATATCAGTCTGTCCCTGATGTTTTTCCTGGAGAGAAGTGGCTTCCTCGCTGCCCTTCTTGACACCAGGCCATCCTCCAAAAGTCTTCGCCTCACTGTGCGTGCAGATGCACTCACACCTGCCTGCTGCCATTCCTGAGCAAGCTCTGCACTGGTGGTGTCCCGATCCCGCAGCTGAATCAACTTTAGGAGACGGTCCTGGCGCTTGCTGGACTTTCTTGGGCGCCCTGAAGCCTTCTTCACAACAATTGAACCTCTCTCCTTGAACTTCTTGATGATCCGATGAATGGTTGATTTAGGTGCAATCTTAGTAGCAGCAATATCCTTGCCTGTGAAGCCCTTTTTGTGCAATGCAATGATGACGGCACGTGTTTCCTTGCAGGTAACCATGGTTAACAGAGGAAGAACAATGATTTCAAGCACCACCCTCATTTTAAAGCTTCCAGTCTGTTATTCTAACTAAATCAGCATGACAGTGTGACCTCCAGCCTTGTCCTCGTCAACACTCTCACCTGTGTTAACGAGAGAATCACTGACATGATGGCAGCTGGTCCTGTTGTGGCAGGGCTGAAATGCAGTGGAAATGTTTTTTGGGGATTAAGTTCATTTTCATGGCAAAGAGGGACTTTGCAATTAATTGCAATTCATCTGATCACTCTTCATAACATTCTGGAGTACATGCAAATTGCCATCATAAAAACTGAGGCAGCAGACTTTGTGAAAATTAATATTTGTGTCATTCTCAAAACTTTTGACCACGACTGTATGTATGTATGTATGCATGTATGTATGTATGTATATGATACTGCTCGACTAAAACAAATCTTGGTCGACCAACAGCCTATTGACCAAACAATCGACCAGTCGAATAATTGGGGTCAGCCCTACTATTTACCAAGAGTATGTTCATCTGTATTTTTCATGGCTGTCTATTTACCACCACATACCGATGCTGACACTAAGACTGCACTAAACAAGCTGTATAGGGCATAAGCAAACAAGACAATGCTCAAGCGGCGCGCTTAGTGGCCATTGATTGTAATGCAGGAAAACTAAAATCCGTTTTACCTAATTTCTACCAGCATGTCACCTGTGCAACTAGAGCAGGGATGGGCAACACCAGTCCTCCGGGGCCTGATTGGTCTTTCGCCCCAGCCCCTGCAAACACACCTGACTCCAATAATCAACATCATGATCTTTAGTTTACAATGCAATTAGTTTAAAATAAGCTGTGTTTGTTAGGGATGGGGAAAAGGTACGACACCACTCCGGCCCCCGAGGACTGGAGTTTCCCCATCCCTGAACTAGAGGGATAAAAACTCTAGATCACCTTTACTTCACACACAAACAAAGCTCTCCCCCTCCCTCCATTTGGCAAATCGGACCATAACTTGATCCTCCCGATTCCTGCTTACAAGCAAAAACTCCAAATAGGAAGTACCAGTGACACGCTCAATACGGAATTGGTCCGATGAAGCGGATGCTAAGCTACAGGACTGTTTCACTAGCACAGACTGGAATATATTCCGGGATTCATCCGATGGCATTGAGGAGGTTACCACAGTCATCGGTGTCACGCCCTGACATTGAGATCTCTAGTTGGGTTGGTCAGGGTGTGAAATCTAATTTATATATTTCTATGTTGGCCGGGTGTGGTTCCCAATCAGAGGCAGCTGTTGGTCGTTGTCTCTGATTGGGGATCATACTTAGGTAGCCATGTTGCCTACCTTAGTGGTGGGATCTTGTTTCTGTTTGGCTTGTTTGATGTTTAGCCTCTTGAACTTCACGTTCTGTTGGATTTTGTTATTTTGTCGGTGTTTATTAAAATAAATGACTATGTACGCATACCACGCTGCACCTTGGTCCGATCCTTTACACAACAAACGTGACAGAAGATCCCACCACCAACGGACTAAGCAGCGTCGCCAGGAGGAGCAGACATGCTGGACACAGGTGGGGAAAACATTCTGGACATGGGAGGAGATATTGGCCGGTAAGGGACCCCGGGCGAAGGAAGAAGCCCAGGCTGTAGAGAAAAAACGGCGACTCAAAAGGTCCCGATCAAGAAGGAAGCCCGAGAGACAGCCCCAATAAATAAATAAAATGGGGGGGGGGGGGGGGGGGGGGGGGGCACACAGGGTGGTTGGCGGAGGCCCTGGAAGAGCTGATTGTGGAGAGGGAGATAGCAACAGAAGAAGCCGCTATGATAGATGCCCTCCAAGACCTGCAGCTCAGTACTCTGAGGAGAACACCGCCTTACGGGAGCTGTTAGTTAAGAGGGAGCAGGAGCTCTTCCTTCAGAAGGAGGCGCTGCAGGAGTCAGTGGATGCACGGAGAGAGGAGCTGGCCAGGCAACAGGAGGAGCTGAGAGAGGAGTTAACCCTCCAGCAGCAGAGAGCTCGGTCCTTAGAGCAGAGGCTGGCGGAGCCAGGTTTAGCAGAGCCAACTCCCCGCACTCGCTTTGAGGAGCGTGTGACCGTGCAGGCACCAGGCTATGCGCCGGCTTTACGCACTGTGCCGCCAGTGCGCCTTCACAGACCAGTACGGCCCGTGCCTGCTCCTCGCACCAAACCAGTGGTGCGTGTCTCCAGCCCGGTGCGCCCCGTACTTGCTCCTCGCACCAAACCAGTGGTGCGGGTCTCCAGCCCGGTGGGGCCTGTGCCTGCTCCTCGCACTGGCACGAAGCCTCCAGTGATGATCCATGGCCCGAAGCCTCCTGTGATGATCCATGGCACGAAGCCTCCTGTGATGATCCATGGCACGAAGCCTCCTGTGATGATCCATGGCACGAAGCCTCCTGTGATGATCCATGGCACGAAGCCTCCTGTGATGATCCATGGCCCGAAGCCTCCTGCGACGGTCTGCAGTCCAGAGCCTCCAGCGACGGTCCAGACAGGACTTGGTGCATCGCGGGAGGAATGCTGGGCCGGGACCAGACGTCAGCCCCTCTCCAGGGTCGAGGGCTCCTACACCAGGGTCCAGACAGGACTTGGTGCATCGCGGGAGGACTGCTGGGCCGGGACCAGACGTCAACCCCTCTCCAGGGTCGAGGGATCCCACACCAGGGTCCAGACAGGGCTTGGTGCATTGTGGGAGGACTGAGAGGGGGAGCATGCCACGCTGCACCTTGGTCCGATCCTTTACACAACGAACGTGACAACCGGCTTCATTAATAAGCGCATCGACGGCTTTGTCCCCACAGTGACCATATGTACATATCCCAACCAGAAGCCACGGATTACAGGTAACATCTGCACTGAGCTAAAGGCTAGAGCTGCCGCTTTCAAGGAGCAGGACACTAATCCAGCACTTATAAGAAATCCAGCTACGCCCTCTGACAAACCATCAAACAGGCTAAGCGTCAATACAGGACTAAGATGAATCCTACAAAAGTTTTGAAAGGCTGGTCATGGCTCACAACACCATCATCCCAGAAACCCTAGACCCACTCCAATTCACATACCGCCCCAACACATCCACACATTACGCAATCGCCCCAAAAAATCAGAACACGCCCCCATTCACATCGACGGGGCGATAGCAGAGCGGGTCGAGAGCTTCAAGTTCCTCAGTGTCCACATCACTAAGGATCTATCATGGTCCAAACGAACCAACACAGTCATGAAGAGGGCACGACAACGCCTCTTCCTTCTCAGCAAGCTGAAAAGATTTGGCATGGGCTGATCCTCAAAAGATTCTCGAATAGCTGCATCCCCCTTGGTATGGCAACTGCTCGGCATGCAACCGCAAGGCACTACGGAGGGAGAACTCCCTGCCATCCAGGAACTCTATGCCAGGCGGTGTCAGAGGAAGGCACAAAAAATTGTCAAAGACTCCAACCACCCAAGTCATAGACTGTTCTCTCTGCTACCGCATGGCAAGCGGCACAGAAGCGCCAAGTCTGTGACCAAAAGGCACCTGAACAGCTTCTACCCTTAAGCCATAAGACTGCTGAACAGTTAAATGGCTACCCAGACAATTTACATTGACCCCCTTTATTAATCTTAATTGTTTTACACTGACTCCCTTGCACTGGCTCTAAGCCAGCGTTTCCCAAACTCGGTCCTTGGGACCCCAAGGGATGCACTACACAGCTAATTCAAATAATCAACTAATCTTCAGGCTTTGTTTATTTGAATCAGCTGTGTAGTGCTAGGGCAAAAACCAAAATGTGCACCGCTTGGGGTCCCCAGGACAGAGTCTGGGAAATGCTGCTCTATGCACACTCACTCGACTCTGCCCACACACACACTTTACATAGTGCCTTCAGAAAGTATTCAGACCCCTTGACTTTCCCCCAAAAAAATTACGCTACAGCCTTATTCTAAAATGGATTTTAAAAATCCTTAATCTACACACAATAACCCATAATGACTGTGCATGTCAGAGCAAAAACCAAGCCATGAGGTCGAAGGAATTGTCCGTAGAGCTCCAAGACAGGATTGTGTCGAGGCACAGATCTGGGGAAGGGTACCCAAAACATTTCTGCAGCATTGAAGGTCCAAGAACACAGTGGCCTCTATCATTCTTAAATGGAAGACGTTTGGAACCACCAAGACTCTTCCTAGAGCAGGCCGCCCGGTCAAACTGAGCAATCGGGGGAGAAGGGCCTTGGTCAGGGAGGTGACCAAGAACCCAATGGTCACTCTGACAGAGCACTAGAGTTCGTCTGTGGAGATAGGAGAACCTTCCAGAAGGACAACCATCTCTGCAGCACTCCACCAATCAGGCCTTTATGGTAGTGCCCAGACAGAAGCCACTCCTCAGTTAAAGGACACACGACAGCCTGCTTGGAGTTTGCCAAAAGGCACCTAAAGGACTCTGACCATGAGAAACAAGATTCTCTAGTCTGATGAAACCAAGATTTAACTCTTTGGCCTGAATGCCAAGCGTCACGTCTGGAGAAAACCTGGCATCATCCCTATGGTGAAGCATGGTGGTGGCAGCATCATGCTGTGGGGATGTTTTTCAGCGGCAGGGACTGGGAGACTAGTCTGGATCCTGGGAAAGATGAACGGAGCAAAGTACAGAGCGATCCTTGATGAAAAACTGCTCCAGAGCGATCAGGACCTCAGACTGGGGTGAAGGTTCACCTTCCAACAGGACAACGACCCGAAGCACACAGCCAAGACAACGCAGGAGTGGCTTCGGGACAAGTCTCAATGTCCTTGAGTGGCCCAGCCAGAGCCCGGACTTGAACCCGCTCGAACATCTCTGGAGAGACCTGAAAATAGCTGTGCAGCAACGCTCCCCATCCAACCTGACAGAGCTTGAGAGGATCTGCAGAGAAGAATGGGAGAAACTCTCCACATACAGGTGTGCCAAGCTTGCAGCGTCATACCCAAGAAGAATCGAGGCTGTAATCACTGCCAAAGGTGCTTTAAAAAAGTAGAGTAAAGGGTCTGAATACTTATGTAAATGTGATATTTCAGTTTTAAAAATATATAAATTAGCAAAGATGTCTAAAAAACTGTTTTGCTTTGTCATTATGGGGTATTGTGTGTAGATTGATGATGAAAAAAACAATTTAATAAATTTTAGAATAAGGCTGTAACGGAACAAAATGTGGAAAAAGTCAGTCTGAATACTTTCCAAGGCACTGTACACTGCTGCTTCTCTTTGTATTATATATCCTGATTGCCTAGTCACTTTAACCCCTACCCACATGTACATACTGTACTACCTCAATTACCTCAACTACCTCGTACCCCTGCACATTGACTCGGTACTGGTACTCCTTGTATATAGCCTCGTTTATGCTTTTATTGTGTTACTATTTCCTTTTTATTTAGCAAATATTTGTCTTACTTTTTAACTCTACACTGTTGGGAATAGGCTCGTTGGTAAGCATTTCACTGTAAAGTCTATACCTGTTGTATTTGGCGCATGTGACCAATAACATTTTATTTTGATCTCCACTGAGGGATTCCTTCATGTAATCACAGACAATGACCTCATTACAGACCAATAATTGACCCGCTCCAATCCAGAGGCTTCCTGTTTACACTGGCTATTAGAATAATCAAATCAGACACCAATCAAATCCAATTCACTGCCAGTGTTGGAGGTGGTGGTAGGGAATACACTGAACTCAAGATCCCAAGAACACACCTTTGAACACAAAGTGTATATTGATGACTACAAAACAAACAAGTCACCAATGCACCATCCTGATAGGGCCCAGTCTTATCAGGTATAAGATTTACAATGTTCAGACAGGAGCACTACTCACACGGGCCTGCAGATGACCAGGTCTCCTTTGTTGGTCCCGTAGGCCAGGCCCATCCCCGGGTCTGGAAGCCATCTGGCTGAATTGATGCTGACATGCCGCCGCTGGTCTGGAGCCATGGGGTAGACCACGTTGAACACCATCTAGGGAACAAATAGAGAACCCAGACAAACAATCGTAAACGTCAACAAGCATACACTTTGTGGTAAACCACCCGGTGCTTAACCCTGCACCTTAGAGACTGCTGCACTACACGTACATAGTCAAACTGGTCACGTTATTAATGTTTACATACTGTTTTACCCACTTCATATGTATATATACTGTATTCTAGTCAATTTTCATCCTATATAAAAGTACTGATGTACACACCTTTTCTATTCATATACTGTCCATAATGTCTATACACACCATCATTTACATATATTTATATTCCGGACTATAATATTCTGGACGTTTTAATTTCCCTATATTTCTTAATTTATTTAAATGTTGGGGATTTGCGTGTATTGTTTGTATTGTTAGGTATTACTGCACAGTTGAAGCTAGGCACATAAGCATTTCGCTACACCCGTGATAACATCTGCTAAATATGTGTACGCAACCAATACAATTGTATTTGAAATATGAACAGATTACGTCTTAGCGGAAAACAGGGGGCCATGGGAGACAAGTGAAATGTCAAAAACAAACAATGTCCATCTACATTCTATGTTCCATCTGAGCCAACCTTTTCTTGCTGGTTTTGAAGAATCTAACGGCTTTATAATGTCAGTAATGGCCAGACAAACAGTCATTTAAAAACTTCTCAGTATTTTTATGGCTGACACAGTGAATAGGTGGGACATGATTGTTATTTGTCGAATTTGATTTGAGGCGGCTGTATAGGAAATAATGAGTATTTTAATAGGGCGCCATGCTTTTTTAGACGTCATTGGAAAATAAACACACTCACAGGGCCCTACACACACACTCCATCATCTGCTCACTCACACATAATATGCACATATATTTATACTGACTCGTTATACTGACTACACACCCACTCACCCACTCACATACAAGCTGCTGCTACTCTGTTTATCTTCTCTCCTGGTGCGTAGTCACCTTACCCCTATACATATCTACCTCCATCACTCCAGTATCCCTGCACAAGTATCCCTGCACAATGTAAATAAGGTATTGGACCCTGTATATAGTATTCTTACTTACTTATTGTGCTCTTCATATTTCTTGTGTTTTTTTTTTGTAGGATTACATTGCCATTGATTATTGCATTGTTGGCTTTTGAGTTTGCAAGAAAGCGTTTCACTGTACTTGTGACATAAAACTAAACATAAAATGCACAATAAAGTGAACCCTTTTGGTATGGGTAAAAGCCATGTAGGCTATCTACAAACCTGGGTTGTGTTCATTAGACACCAAATAGAAGAAAACTGACAAACGGGGAGGGATTACCTGGACTCATTTAATCATTTTCCAAAGCTTGCCATAATGAACACCATCCCGGTAGTATCAATCTGTGGTACTACCCTTCTCCCGCACTGTTGACCTTCACTGACATAGGTTAAAATGTAACCAGCTGGGCTGGTCTTTTCCCTGCATTAGGGGGGGGGGGGGGGGGGGGGGGGTCTCTCTGTCTCACCCTGATGGAGGTCTCTCCACCATGGGGCTGCTGCAGCCGGAACACTTGCGCCACCATGTGGTCGGTGGAGGGATGCAGCAGGATCCTGCGGGAGGCCAGGCCCACCATCACGTAGCAGCCCATGGGAGACAGGCTCACCGAGATGGCATTGGGACCTGTGGGAGGGTTGAAGACAAACGTTAAGACTGAGAAGGTTAGGCAAGACTCTTCTAGGATATTATTGTATTGTAGTTAAGGTTAACCATCTATAATATTCTGTTTAGTGCACCGATTTACTAGATTCAATGTTTTAGATTCTCTAGTTCAGTGTTACCCAAACCTCTCCTCGAGTACCTCCTGCAGTTCAACTAATTTGATGTATTCCACAACTAGCACACCTGATTCAACTAATGAGGTGATTAGTTGACCAATTGAATCAGGTCTGCCATCACTGGAACACCTCAAATAAGTGGATTGGCTGGGGCCACTTGAGGAGAGGTTTGGGAAACACTGCTATATTTGTATCCTGGAGGTCAAGTCCCTGACGGCAAGACGTCCTCTACTACGTGACAAGACTTACCAAATCTTTTGGTGTAGAGCACCTCCCCCAGGTTGTGAGGGGCCAGGGAGTACACAGCCAGGATGCCCTCGTCAGGGAAGCCCCGCTGGCTGCTGGGTATGAACACTGCCAGGAGCTGCCCGTCCGCCGAGATGTCACAGCTGGCGTCGTTGTAGATCTTACAGTTTGGCACCAGCACATTCACAGAGGCTGGAGGAGTAGGCAATAGACAAACACACACAGTGTCAATAATACAGTAGACCGCTTAGGTAACCGCAATCAGAGAGGCAAACATCGCTGTTCAAACAATAGGAGAGCTGGGACCGGTTTAGGAGGATCTAACGTTCCAGAACTTTCAGACAGAAATGTATTGTGTAGAAATTATACGATTGTCTGTCAGAATAGGGTCGGCTCTATTCATTCTAATCTTCCTGCAATGTTCTGAAAGTTTTTTTACATACCGTTGCTGATCTCCGGTAGGTCGAACTTGGTGAAGTCCCACCACTGCAGCCGGTAAGTGGTGTTGGCTATGTTGCTGGCCACTGCCGACTGGCCGTCCCCGATGGAGGCACCTGAGAGACAGGAGAAAGGCCAGTGGTCAGTGGAAAGGTTATTGAATGTGAAATAGGAGGAGGAGTGTATCACTATTGCAGATAACACAAAATGGATAACATTGAGCTGTATGAGAGCAGTCAACTAGTCAGTTGTGGCCCACTTGAACCGTACTGGCTTGGATATTCTCTTTTACACCTTTGCAGAGGAGAACACAGAGCTGTGAAGCTGAGCCAGGGTTGACATCAACCGCTGCACACAATCACATTGCCCTGCCTGGACTCCTCCCTTCTGCATCTCTATCCTCTCTCTCTGGCGGGAGGGTAAGCTTGGCTTATATACATAGTTTAAGCTTTGTCGAGTAAAGCTTAAACTATGTATTTCGATTGTAGTTAGGTATTGTAGGTAGTTATCGTGGGTTGTTGTATGTAATTATTGTAGGTAAGTATTGTATTCGGCTGAGCCCGGTGAAGCACGAAGCTAGCTAACCCACTACCTGGACTAGCTAGCAGGTAGCTACTGGTAACTATTAGCAACTGTGGATAGTTGTTTCACGCCTGAGAGTACCTGTAATTACGCCAGCTAGCTGCCTACAATAATTACATACAATAATGCCTACCACTCAGCTGTTTTTCTAACCTCATTGTCTGAAGGGTTAACGTTAGGTAGTAAGTGGCTACTGTGCTCGAAATGTAGCTAGCTTGTTGCTACCTGGATAGCTACTAAACAATAGCTGGAACGACCTAGCGAACAGACGCGAACTGGCTGAGTCAATTCAGTGGCTAGCTTTGCACTTGGCTAGCTAACAGTAGCTGCTAGGGGTAAGTTATAACCTACATTTGTGTTTTGTTTTTACATACTGGTAGCCAGAGTCGTTCAAGGGAATTCAGGACATGGGTGACTAGTTAACGTTAGCTTGGCTCTCTCTGCGTGTTCGTGCCGTGGGAGGAGGGGTTTCTTCGTTGGCAGAAAGCAATGGCTAGCATGCTAACTATTCTAGCTAACTAACTGGCTGAATAAATTGACGACGGACTCGCTCAAGCTGTCGGGACTAACCCACAACGTTAGACACGGACACAAATGATCTGCTTGGCGTGTTGACACACTGGTGGTTTGTTGTGGCCGAGTATTGGTGCTAAACCGTGTTGTTGGAGTCCGGCATGCTAGTTGTCTGTGGCGTCATATGACTAGGTGCCCTGGACGGTTTTCACGGAAGAATACTGTACCAAGTTAGCTAGCTGAATAAACTAAGTTAGTCTATTCCTAGAAAACATTGAACCGCTGTAGTTTACAACAATGATAGTTTCTGAGGTGGAAGTTGGGAGAGTTATATTTGGGTGTTTCAGTGAAACGGAAGTGAGGGAGGCCCCGCTCTCTCGCTTTCCCAGATGTTTAGTTCATTTCATTCCGATCTCCTTTGCATTATTGTAGCCATTTTCTGTAACCTGTCAACTATGCCTCTGTCTATCCCTGTTCTCTCCTCTCCGCACAGGCTATACAAACGCCTCACACCGCGTGGCTGCTGCCTCTCTAACCTGGTGGTCCCTGCACGCACGACCCACGTGGAGTTCCAGGTCTCCGGCAGCCTCTGGAACTGCCGTTCTGCGGCCAACAAGGCAGAGTTCATCTCAGCCTATGCTACCCTCCAGTCCCTCGACTTCTTGGCGCTGACGGAAACATGGATTACCACTGAAAACACTGCTACTCCTACTGCTCTCTCCTCGTCTGACCATGTGTTCTCGCATACCCCGAGAGCATCTGGTCAGCGGGGTGGTGGCACAGGAATCCTCATCTCTCCCATCTCTTTAAGGAATACCTGGGATAGGATAAAGTAATCCTTCTACCCCCCCTTACCCCACCCAAAAAGAATAAAAATATTGTAAAGTGGTTATCCCACTGGCTCTTAGGTGAATGCACCAATTTGTAAGTCGCTCTGGATAAGAGCGTCTGCTAAATGACGTAAATGTAAATGTTCCACCAACTATAATGGATGGTACAGCTCAGCTTGGCGCAGTAGTGTGAAAAGGGTTTTACAGTGCACTCCTCTTATAGTGATCACATCCATGTCGGACAATTTAACCACATTTTAAGCGGAGTGCACTCTAGTGAGACAATCTTTGTTAGTACCTGCTAGGACCCTATTGACAGAGGAGTGGGTGGCCAGGCCAGGCTGTCCCCTCTCGTGGAAGATCCCAGCGTAGGGCAGGTACTCAGGCAAAAGAAACCGCCGAGGAACGAAGCGCCCCAGCGAAGGTGCAGACATCCTGGCGTTGCGTGGTGTTCTGTGCCTCGTCCGGTCTCCGTTGTCACTGTTAAACACACACACGGCAGTTATTGGGAGAAACAGAGGCTGTTGGGTGAAATGTGTGGTGAAGCGGAATGTTCAAGGTAGGATGACTGTACTCAGATTGCAAAATTATTCCAATGGCAAGATACACTACATGACCAAAAGTATGTGGACACCTGCTTGTCGAACAGTTCATTCCAAAATCATGGGCATTAAAATAGAGTTGGTCCCCCCTTTGCTGCTATAAACAGCCTCCACTCTTCTGGGAAGGCTTTCCACTAGATGTTGGAACATTGGTGCGGGGACTTGCTTCCATTCGGCCACAAGAGCATTAGTGAGGTTGGGCACTGTAGGGTGATTAGGCCTGGCTCGCAGTCAGCGTTCAATTCATCCCGAAGGTGTTCGATGGGGTTGAGGTCAGGGCTCTGTGCAGACCAGTCAAGTTCTTCCACACTGATCTCGACAAACCATTTCTGTATGGACCTCGCTTTGTGCACAGGGGCATTGTCTTGCTGAAACAGGAAAGGGCCTTCCCCAAACTGTTGCTAGAACGTCATTGTATGCTGTAGTGTTAAGATTTCCCTTCACTGGAACTAAGGGGTCTAGCCCGAACCATGAAAAACAGCCCAGACCATTAATCTTCCTCCAACAAACTTCACAGTTGGCACTATGCATTGGGGCAGGTAGCGTTCTCCTGGCATCCGCCAAACCCAGATGGTGAAGCGTGATTCATCACTCCAGAGAACACATTTCTTCCACTGCTCCGGAGTCCAATGGCGGTGAGCTTTACACCACTCCAGCCGGCGCTTGGCATTGCGCATGGTGATCTTAAGCTTGTATGCGGCTGATCGGCCATGGAAACCAATTTCATGAGGCTCCCGACTAACAGTTATTGTGCTGATGTTGCTTCCAGAGGCAGTTCTGAACTCTGTAGTGAGTGTTGCAACCGAGGACAGACAATTTTTACGCGCTACGCGCTTCAGCACTTGCTGATCCTGTTCTGTGAGCTTCTGTGGCCTACCACTTCGCGGCTGAGCCGTTGTTGCTCCTAGACGTTCCCACTTCACAATACCAGCACTTACAGTTGACCGGGGCAGCTCTAGCAGGGCAGAAATTTGACGAACTGACTTGTTGGAAAGGTGGCATCCTATGATGGTGCCACATTGAAAGTCACTGAGCTCTTCAATAAGGCCATTCTACTGCCAATGTTTGTCTATGGAGATTGCATGGCTGTGTGCTATACACCTGTCAGCAACGGGTGTGGCTGAAATAGCCGAATCCACTCATTTGAAGGGGTGTCCACATACTTTTGTATATATAGTGTAAGTCGACATCACACACCATTGGTTGTGTAGATCCAGCTACAGTACATGCCTCGACCCAAAATGAATGGAAAATATAAGCACCGTAAAATCAAATGGAATTATATGGTGCTTATGTTTTCTAAAAAGACGGCTTGGGACATCTCCTTATCCCCTCTTATCTCAACAGAAGACCACTTTGAGGTCTGAAAACAAAAATCAGACAAACTGATTTAAGAGTGTAACTAATATCCCGTTAAGGGGCCAGGATGGGTTGCCGCCAACTCACTCTAGCTCCTCAAAGTCCACGTCGCTGTTCTCCATAGCGGCCGAGGGGTTGCCGGCAGGGCTGTCCGACGAGGAGGAGAGGGTCCTCAGGCGGTTCTGCTGGTAGCGCAGCGAGCGCTGGCGGATACTGTCCCGCCTCGACAGGTACTGGATCATTCTCTGGGCATAGTACGCAGCCGGTGACAACCTGCAGGAGAAACAACGGCAGAGAGAAGGGTTCAATGGGGGGGTTTACAGCTCTAGGGTTGATACTATACTGAACAAAAATATAAATGCAACCATTTCAAAAGATTTTACTGAATTACAGTTCATATAAGGAAATCAGTCAATTGAAATAAATTAATTAGGCCCTAATCTATGGATTTCACATGACTGGGAATACAGATACACATCTGCTGGAGCTGGACACAGATACCTAAAAAAATGCAGCACAACGCATCTCCTTCGCATGGAGTTGATCAGGCTGTTGATTGTGGCCTGTGGAATTCAGTCCCACTCCTCTTCAGAAGCTGTGCGAAGTTGCTGGATATTGGTGGGAACTGGAACACGCTGTCATACACGTCAATCCAGAACAACCCAAATATGGTCAAAGAGTGACATGTCTGTTGAGTATGCAGGCCATAGAAGAACAGACAGCTTCCAGGAATTGTGTACAGATCCTTGCGACATGGGGCCATGACTTATGTTAAAACATGAGGTGATGGCGGTGGATGAATGGAACGGCAATGGGCCTTAGGATCTTGTCACGGTACCTCTGTGCATTCAAATTACCATCGATAAATTGTGTTCGTTGTCCATAGCTTATGCCTGCCCATACCATAACCCCACTCTGTTCACAACATTGACATCAGCAAACACGTTAACATCAGCAAACCGCTCACCCACACGACTCCATACACCTGGGTATGCGGTTGTGAGGCCGGTTGGACGTACTGTCATATTCTCTAAAACAACATTAGAGGCAGCTTATGGTAGAGAAATTAACATTTAATTCTCTGGCCACAGCTCTGGTAGACATTCCTGCAGTCAGCATGCCAATGGCACGCTCCCTCAAAACTTGCAACAGCTGTGGCATTGTGTTGTGTGACAAAACTGCACATTTCAGAGCGGCCTTTTATTGTCCCCAGCACAAGGTGCACCTGTGTAATGATCATGCGGTTGAATCGGCTTCTTGATATGCCACACCTGTCAGGTGGATGGATTATATTGGCAAAGGAAGAAATGCTCACTTACAGGGATGTAAACACATTTCTGCACAACATTTAAGAGAAATAAGCTTTTTGTGCATATGGAAGATTTCTGGGATCTTTTATTTCAGCTCATGAAACATGGGACCAACACTTTACATGTTGCGTTTATATTTTTTTCAGTGTATGTTGGCAAAATTCCATAAACCTTCTTGAAGTTCCCGCGTTTAAGAAATTCTCTACCTTTGATATTTTGTTAAATCTGTAAACATTTGGGAAAATTACAGGGATATTTCAACCTTACTTTAAACTGTCAACTTTATGTTTCGACAGAACCCCCTCCAAAACTAAATGGTGCACCTGGAGGGGTTTTATCCTGTCAAACACAGTACTAGTTAATTAGAGGTGAGGTTGGGGGCTGGTACCTGGCAGGGTCTGGGTAGATGGGGTGGTCTCTGGATCCTCCCATGTCGTAGCGGGAGAGAGAGAGGAGGGAGGACTCCAACAGCCTTCTGTGAACAAACACGCCAAACAATGGATCAGCATTTCATCTCCTCTACAAAGGGAGTCTATTTGTTTCATACAAATACAACTATTCGGACAATATAAGCCTATCAAGGACATACTGATAAAAGCAGACCAGTAGTTACTTGCTGTAATGTTGTTATATCAGAGAGGATCACTAGCTAAAGTGAGCAGAGTTGCATTCAGTAGATAAAACAGCGAGGTACTATCAGAGCTCGTTCAATAAAAAAAACGTTCATTTTAAACATTTTACCACAGTGTGAGCACGACCCTGGACTGAGCAAAAAACACCACTGAAGAGACTACCAAGGCCTTTCTCATAACTCTACCTCCTCAGAGAGTCCTCGTCCGGGTTATCCACAGGCATTTCTTGGCTTAAGGCCTCTGGCGGTGCGTCGGCAACAGCGGAGTGGCTGGAGGCGGCCTGGCGGTAGACGCGCTCCCACTGGCCCGTCTCCTGGTTGTACACCAGGCCCACCGTCTGCTCCCCGGGCTGGGCAGTGGACGACGCGATGGTGGGGAAGGGCATGGCCGCACCATGAGGGCCTGGGGAGGGCTGCCGCTCGCTGGGCTCCGGGGGCTGGGTTATCCTCCTCTCCCGCTCTGGTGGCTGGGGTTGGGGCTCCCGCCTCCGTGGTGACACATGGGTTTCTTCATAGGCAGGGCTGGGGGGCTGCTGCCAGGGAGAGCTGGAGCCCTCCTGGGTGGCGACAGCGGAGGTGGAGGAGGCTGGGCTGGTGCGCTCCCAGCGTTGGGAGTCGTGGTTGAAGGTGAGCAGGTTGTGGCAGGCCCGGCAGCGGTTCAGGTGGCCCCGGGAGGAGTGGGCCGCATTTGAGGGAGGGGGGTTGTTCTCGGCTGTGGTTGGTGGGGGCGGCTGGGGCTGATAGTGGGAGGAGGATGGCCCGGGTCTCTCCAGGTCCATGTTGTTGTTGAGCAGCTCCTGCGTCTGCTCCTGGCCGCCCTCTCCTCCACCGACGCCCCCCAGTGGCGACTCCAGGTCCTGCATGCGGTCGAACTCCATGAAGTAGCGGCTCAGGTTGCACTGGAGCACGTTGCGGAACGAGGTCGGGTTGCTGCGCGTGCCGTCCCAGAAAGGGTGGTGCCCGCTGCTGGTGCCCGCTCCTCCTCCACCTCCTCGCTGATTGGCCACGGGGCCAGAGCCAGGTTCGGAGCTCGGCTGCGGGGGGAAGGTGTAGACAGGGGACTGGGAGGAGCCGTCCTGCTGCCGGAGCACTGACAGCAGGCTGACGGAGGACGAGCTGGTTCGGGGGGGCAGCATCCCGCCCTCGACACCACCTCCCCCGCTCACCCCACCTTCACTCCCTCCAGCCCTGCTCTCTGAGCCTCTCATATTCAGCAGGCTGCGTGTCCAGTCGGGTCCGGGCAGTGGGCGGGAGGGGGGTTGGTGGCTGGTGGGTGGCGGCGGCGGAGGCTGCTGGCTCAGGGGCGGGCTGGCCATGTGGGCGGTAGGCACGGCGCGGTGCAGGGAGCTGCCAGCGCTGTAGTAAACCGTAGTGAAGGCAGAGGGCCGCTGTTGGGCCCCACTGGGCTCTGAAGGCTGCCGGGGCTCCGTATGGGCCGAGGAAAAGGTGGAGGCGTGGGGGGCCGGCTGAGGGTGCTCAGGGAGGACCACAGGCCTGGAGGAGGTCCCCTCGCCCAGAGAGGGGCTGCGGTTGGCCGTACAGCGGCTGCAGAGGCACACCATGCCCAGGTGCTGGGTGCAGCCTGGGAAGGGCAGTCCGCGGTCCTGTGAGGCTGGGTACTGCCCCAAAGGCATGCTGGGGGGCACGCCGCTGACCTCCCCGCCAGGGCGTGACGCATCCGCCCCCGACGAGCGCGACGACAGGATGTGCAGGAAGTTGTGGAGGATGGGCGTGCGGCGTACGGGCTGGGATGGCAGGAAGGAGCGCTGGCGGAAGTGTGGCATCTCCACGCTGTCCATGGGGACCTCAGAGTCATCATCATTCTACAGGACATAATAATATGTTAGATATTAGGGTAGTCATGTTGAATGTTTTAGGGTACAGTCATATTTAAAAGGCTTTGAGAAGATTTCATTTGTAGACAGAAAACGGTATACGGTACAGTGCAATTTTGTTGTGATAAGAGAAAGGACTCACCTGCTGGTTGGAGGGGTTCACAGTAGCAGTCAGAAGATTGTGCCCCAAAGGATCAAACCTCACCAACCTAAAAGAGAAACAGCAGAACTTTCCATCAACTCAAAGATATTCTAATCATAGCAATATCATATTATAATGATACAACATTTGCGCTACAGTGGGGTTGTTCCATGTGAAAATGGAACAAATGTTTAAAAAAAAATGTTTTCCTGAAATCAAATTATACCAGTGGAGGCTCCTCAGAGGAGGAAGGGGAAGATATTCAGAGACTTGTCCCGAAGCCACTCCTGCGTTGTCTTGTTGGAAGGTGAACCTTCACCCCAGTCTGAGGTCCGCTCTGGAGCAGATTTTCATCAAGGATCTCTCTATACTTTGCTCCGTTCATCTTTCCCTCGATCCTGACTAGTCTCCCAGTCCCTGCTGATGAAAGACATCCCACAGCATGATGCTGCCACCACCATGCTTCACCGTAGGGATGGTGCCAGGTTTCCTCCAGACGTGACGCTTGGCATTCAGGCCAAAGAGTTCAATTTTGGTTTCATCAGACCAGAGAATCTTGTTTCTCATGGTCCGAGAGTCCTTTAGGTGCCTTTTGGCAAACTCCAAGCAGGCTGTCATGTGCCTTTTACTGAGGAGTGGCTTCCGTCTGGCCACTCTACCATAAAGGCCTGATTGGTGGAGTGCTGCATAGATGGTTGTCCTTCTGGAAGGTTCTCCCATCTCCACAGAGGAACTCTGGAGCTCTGTCAGAGTGACCATCGGGTTTTTGGTCACCTCCCTGACCAAAGCCCTTCTCCCCCGATTGCTCAGTTTGGCCGGGCGGCCAGCTCTAAGAAGAGTCTTGGTGGTTTCAAACTTCTTCCATTTAAGAATGATGGAGGCCACTGTGTTCTTGGGGACCTTCAATGCTGGATACATTTTTTGGTACCCTTCTTCAGATCTGTGGTTCGACACAATCCTGTCTCGAAGCTCTACGGACAATTCCTTCGACCTCATGGCTTGGTTTTTGCTCTGACATGCACAGTCAACTGTGGGACCTTATATAGACAAGTGTGTGCCTTTCCAAATCATGTCCAATCAATTCAATTTACCACAGGTGGACTCCAATCAAGTTGTAGAAACATCTCAAGGATGATCAATGGAAACAGGATGCGCCTGAGCTCAATTTCGAGTCTCATAGCAAAGGGTCTGAATAATTATGTAAATAAGGCATTTCTGTTTTGTTTTTTTGCTTTGTCATTATGGGGTATTGTGTGTAGATTGCTGAGGATTTGGTTTTTTTTCATCCATTTTAGAATAAGGCTGTAATGTAACAAAATGTGGAAAAAGTCAAGGGGTCTAAATACTTTCCGAAGGCACTATATGTATGCATGTATGTATGTATGTATGTATGTATATATGTATCTATCTCTATGGCGTCCCACCTGACTCTTTCAGTCTCGCTGCCGGTTTTGACCACAGCGAAGGGCTCGGGCCGGCTCCAGTCCCAGAAGTGGAGCTCGTTATTGGTTGCGATGAGGAGGAGCTGGGCAGTGGGGTGGAAGGCTAGCGAGGCAATGGCCACGTTGCTCTCCGTGAACCAGCTCTCACTGCCACCCTGCAGAAACAAACACAAGAAGGGGGTTTAATACAGAAAGAAACAAGTAGGATACGGCAACACTGGATACAAACGTTTGCATGATCTTTATGGGATACGGACTCCTGTCAAAGGGGTTTATCAACTAGACTACCAATAGCAACACATTGAAGATAAACACGTTTCCTTATGATGCCTGGAGTTGGACAGTGCCCTGGGGGAAACCTCAACATTTACTTCTGCCGAAGACTGTGCATGCAAGTCTTACAAACTAACATAGCAAAAATATATACCTATGCAACTTGGCAAGCGGGGACCTGAAACTTGTGTCCTATTTATCTTAATAGGGGTCTGTGTTTAAGAGAAGGCACCACTTACATGCAGATCCCAGATGCGGACCTCTCCGTCAAGGCATCCGGAGGCCACAAGGCCAGGGATGGTAGGGTGAAAGGTCACGCACCAGGGCGTGCGGCGGTGGCCCACCAGCGAATGCAAGCACTTTCCAGTCTTCACCTCCGTGATGTAGATGTTGTGATTGACATGAGTGGAAGCCATGAGGGTCCTATCAAAGTGGAGATAAGAGGGGGGGGGGGGGGTCTAGAGTGAATGGTACAGCTGCTGTGACGCGAAAGGAAGCCCTGCCTCAAATGCTCTCACAAATCCATTAATGCGGCCGGGTCAGTTGAGTTCCTTACCGGTCTGGGCTGAAGGCCAACAGGAACGTCGAGCGAGGGCTGTCTGGCAGCTCCACTTTCTGTGTAAGGGCAACAAACAAACATCGCTTAATGCCAGAGCCTTACATGGAGGTAGCACATGCATTTTTTTTTTTCTTTACTTATGACTTGAGTTTAATTGTGATCCATCAAGTGCATATTATTAGGGATTTTGAAGAACAACTCCCATAATAGACTACAGATGATAAAGACAAGCACAGGGCATTGTTTCCATGGTGACGAGTTAAAGGCAATGGTATATTGCCCCAGATCAAAATGCCTACTGCAGCAAGTGTATGACAGCATACTACTATTCCATATCTGTTGAAACCAAAGCAGTTTTGGCTAATCCTTTGACTGGGATAGTGTGCTTCTTTGGCTTTTACCTGACTCTGCCATTTCATCCAGCGGACCTTCTCCTCCACCAGCTGCTGCAGGAGGCGCTTGGAGCCAAAGGCCTGTGAGCCGCGCTCCCGGCTGGACAGGATCCGCACAGAGTTCCTTTGATGACGAGAGGCCATGGTGGTTCTCCTACCGTACGGGGCCGCCACACCACCACCACCACCACTGCTCTACCACTGGCCTCTCTGGCTGCTCTAGGGACAGTCACTTCTGCTGCTGCCTCTCGCTCGCCATGCAGAGTCTAGGCTGGGGAGCAGAGAAGAGAAAATGGGAAGAGACGGCCAAGAACAAAAGATAGTAGTTTAGTTGTGGTTAGGCATATGTTTTGCACATGGAAAAAGGAGAGGGGACAAACAAATAAAATGAGGGTTGCCTAGTAGTTGACTATTGAAAAATTAGTTTGACAGATGACCACATTGAAGATCATGAGGTTGTGCTGTATGGTGGGAGGGGGCAAATGTAGGACTTAACTTTATTAGTAGAACAATTGACCTAGATATTATTTTAGGAGTATTTCTGTCTGTAATAAAGCCCTTTTGTGGGTAAAAAGCCTATTCTGATTTAATGGGCCTGGCTCCCCAGTGGGTGGGCATATGCCCTCCCAAGCCCACCCATGGTTGCACCCCTGCACCCCTGCCCAGTCATGTTAAATCCATAGATTAGGGCCTAATGAATTTATTTCAATTGACCGATTTCCTTATATGAACTGTAACTCAGTAAAATCTTTGAAGTTGTTGCATGTTGCGTTTATATCTTTGTTCAGTATATTTAGGGGATCGGTACTATAATATCCTGCGTCCATAAATAAGAACATGCAAGCTTGCAGCTCTCTGGCTAGCCTACACGTGCAGCCAAAGTCAAGATCTCACATCTGGAAGGTTGCCTAAATGTTGCACTCTTACAATTTTGTCATATTTTGGTCACAAATTGGCAAAACACCACAGGCAAAGCAATACAGCACTGCTTTTGCACCCTCTTAAAAATACTTGTTTAACTTGGGCTTGGAAACCCAAAGGCATTTTAAACGAGGGGAAAATTTTTCCAACACTGGGGCGGGAGACTTTCCAGTAAACAAAGATGACCAACAAGAGTGATATTGGGAACACACAATCCTTGGCAGGCGGCACCACATTATTTTAAACCATGACGGGTGGGCCTAATTGCAATTCCAAGTAAGACAGACGCCCAAACCCGGGTCCAAACACGGATCATCATCGCGCTATGCAATTTTCATCAAGTCGCTTTCCAGAATGCCAACGAGTGGTGTTTCATAAGCTCTCCCTGTGGCTTGACTTAGCTCTAAATTACAATCCCAGATGAAACTGAGTGTAAGTCTATGTTGCAGTCACAAGAGACTTTGAAGAGCCTGAATGTGGTTTAAAAAGCAACCCGAATACACAACACCACAAGCATATTATTATGCAACTGTGTTATTGCATTATTACAACTCCAATGCTGTTAGTCTGATGATTGAAAAGTGATAACCACCATATCATGTCATATGCAGTGAACTATCTATTGAATTAGCTGTGTAGTGCTAGGGTAAAAAGCAAAACATACACCCCTTGGGGTCCCAAGAACAAGTTAAATCCACTTCAATCAGTGTAGATGAAGGGGAGGAGACAGGTTAAAGAAGGATTTTGAACGGGGTATGGTAGTAGGTGCCAGGAGCACCGGTTTGAGTGTGTCAAGAACTGCAACGCTGCTGGGTTTTTCATGCTCAACAGTTTCCCGTGTGTATCCCCTCCCGAGTGGCGCAGTGGTCTAAGGCACTGCACCGCAGTGCTAGCTGTGCCACTAGAGATCCTGGTTCGAATCCAGGCTCTGTCGTAGCCGGCCGTGACCGGGAGGCCCATGGGGCGGCGCACAATTGGCCCAGCGTTGTCCAGGGTAGGGGAGGGAATGGCCGGTAGGGATGTAGCTCAGTTGGTATAGCATGGCGTTTGCAACGCCAGGGTTGTGGGTTCGATTCCCACGGGGGGCCAGTATGAAAAATGTATGCACTCACTAACTGTAAGTCGCTCTGGATAAGAGCGTCTGCTAAATGACTAAAATGTGAATGTATCACGAATGGTCCACCACCCAAAGGACATCCAGCCAACTTGACAACCGTGGGAAGCTTTGGAGTCAACATGGGCCAACATCCCTGTGGAATGCTTTCGACACCTTGTAGAGTCCATGCCCCAACGAATTGAGGCTGTTCTGAAGGCAAAAGCGGGTGGAACTCAATATTAGGAAGGTGTTCGTAATGTTTTGTACACTCAGTGTATGTCCATATTCATAGACTGACATTTCAGCTCTAATGGCACTGACTGAACACAGGCATTGGCCTTTTCTCAATTGCATAATCCTCACCTCCTCTCTCCTTCTCAAAACCCATTGGAGGAGAAGGTCAGAGGGGAGGAACCTTCGGCCTTCTCATCCAATGATTTTGATTAGGAGCATAGGAGAAAACACTCAAGTATGCAATTGGGAAAAGGCCATGTTGCCTAGGTCCATGTCTTTATCAAATAGATAACCTGGATTTATTTACTTTGTCTGCGGTTTTCGAGGGAAAATGTATGCTCTCAATCTGTCAGTTTGTTATTGATTGGAGAGAACCAGATTAGCAAGAGCAAAAATGGTGACCGCTTGGAGAAATATTATTTCAATCACAATTATTAAGTATGTGTTGAAATTCTCAAGTAAAAAAACAAACAATTGAAGCACTAAGTAGATAAGCACGTATGTTTTCAAAATAGATAGTCATACTAAGTGGCTAACTAACGTTACCTTGGAGGTCAGCTTGAGTTTACCGTTATCCAGCTAGGATAACTTCAAATAAGAAATAGGATTTTGGCAAACTGATTCGCTAGTTAGCTCAAACCATAGCTAACTCAAGAAAATGCGTCTGAAACAGCTACGGCTAACCAGCTAGTTAGTTAACATTAACAAATGGGCAAGCTAGTCAACCAGCTAACGTTAGCCAAAAATAAACAAATGTAGCTAACATTAGCTACTAACGTTACTAGCAAACGTGAGCTAGCTAGAAAATGTTAGAAAGCTAAGTAGCTAACGTTACATATTCGGTGGACAAACACACAACCAAGAACCAACCAGAAACCCAGCTAATACTAATGTTAGTGGCAAATGTTTTTTTTTCATAGTTATAGTAACGTTACCTAATTTGTTAGTGTGTGTGGCTACCCAGCGAAAACACCTACCTAGCTATGTTATCGCGCTAAACTTGGTAACTAGCCAATACAAAAAACTTGCTACTAAGTTGGCTAACGTTACCTATTTGGAAAATCGCTAGCAATCCTACTAGCTGCCAGTCCCGGATACGGTATTAGCATAACTAGCGAGCTAACTAGCTACTGTATAGAACAACGCCGGAGATACATTAGATGAGGCATAACTGAAACAAACTGCTTATATTCTGTAAAATCAGATAACGATTGAGTCAAGAGGCCATTGCCTACCTTTCTTTCTTGTATTCTTGTTGAAATGTGTCATCATAGGCGTAGCTAACTAACACTAGCTAACTGTTAGCGTAGCAAGCAAAAATGTACGGCAAGTAGCTTGCTACACTTGTCTTAGACTTCACACATTAATGAATTGACCAATATCAATCTATGATAATTGCGATTGATCACATTCATACCCTCTGATATAGCTATTTCAACATACTTTCCTGGCATAGAGCAAATTCATTGTGCTAGCTATCCGTCTACTGCGTAGCTAGCTTCCCAGATGTGTGTGTCGTGAAATTTTTTAGTGTGAGCAACAATAGTCAAATCGGCGGTTCGCCTTCAAAATAAAAGTCGCCCATTGAAACTGATGCAAACGGATAAAAATAGTGGAATCATGCCAGGGCCTTCCAACCATGTTCCTGGAGAGCTACCATCCTTTAGGTTTTCACTCCAACCCTAACTAACATGATTCAGCTCATCAACCAGCTAATTATAACAAACAGGTGCGCTAGATCAAGGTTGGGGCGAAAACCTACAGGACAGTAGCTCTCCAGGAACAGGGTTGGAGAGCCCTGGTCTAGATAATGATCTGTTGAATATAAACTATACTGGTCAAAAATATGAACGCAACATGCAACAATTTCAAAGATTTTACTGAGTTACAGTTCATATAAGGAAATCAGTCAATTGAAATACATTTATTAGGCCCTAATCTATGGATTTCACATGACTGGGCAGGGGCGCAGCCATGGGTGGGCCTGGGAGGGCATAGGCCCACCCACTGGAGAGCCAGGCCCAGCCAATCAGAATGAGTTTTTCCCCACAAAAGGGCTTTATTACAGACATAAATACTCCTCAGTTTCATCAGTTGTCCGTGTGGCTGGTTTCAGACGATCCCGCAGGTGAAGAAGCTGGTGTGGTTACACATGGTCTGCGGTTGTGAGGCTGGTTGGACATGATGCCAAATTCTTTAAAACAACGTTGGAGGCAGCTTATGGTAGAGAAATGTACATTCAATTCCCTGGCAACAGCTCTGGTGGACATTCCTGCAGTCAGCATGTCAATTGCATGCTCCTTCAACTTGAGACATCGATGGAATTGTGTTGTGACAAAATTGCACATTTTAGAGTGGTGGTTTATTGTCCCCAGCACAAGGTGTGTAATGATCATGCTGTTTAATCAGCTTCTTGATATGCCACACCTGTCAGGTGGATGGATAATATTGACAAAGGAGAAATGCTCACTAAAAGGGATATAAACAAATGTATGGACAACATTTCAGAGAAATAAGCTTTTTGTGCATATGGAACATTTCTGGGATCTTTTATTTCAGCTCATGAAACATTGGACCAACACTTTACATGTTGCATTTATATTTTTGTTAAGTATATATAAACATCTGTTGAAATCGCACAGTGGATGTATTAGACTTCAGAATTGGATTGGGGGCATAGGCTACTTAGGCCTGGTGCGCTGGTCAGCTGATTGTTCACCCGCACCCGCCCACAATTGCTAATAACCCATCCGCAACCTCCAGACTAGGCCTATGTGATAAAGTGACAATCTGAGGCCCGCACCCGACCCTAACCCTGCAAATAAAGAAATGCGGTGTAGGCTACAGTCAGAGACAGCAGAACTATTTTTTGACTGGGGGTGCAGGATGTTTT